TCAGTCATTTATTGTCTCTATTTATCAATCAAAATACGTTTCGGTGTATTTTTCCACCATCATCAGTTTTTATGTGTAGCGTTGTTGCTGCTTTAGGCCTTGGCATGCATGCCAAGGCTTAAAGTCAGAAAAGTATACACTTATAAGTTGTTCAAGTGTTGTCAATAGTCCTGTAAACAATAATAAAGTCGGTTTTTGAACTCTTCCCTAACATTTCGGAAAACTTCACGGGGAATTGACTGGCATTCTGCTGCAATTCGACTTTTAAGATCATCAATATCAGCAGGTTGTGTTTTATAAACAATGGAATTAAGATTGGTGCAAAATGTCCACTTTATCCAAACGTATTTGCTGATTTGTCTGTTTGTCCTAACCTAAATCTAATAAAATAAAAATTAAATTTCTCTAAATGTGCTCACTATTCATATTTTGTTATAAATTTGTTCGAAGAACTTGTCATTTTCGGTTACGTTGGCGCTATTGCATATATTCCAAAACCCGTCAGTCTAACTCCTTATAGCTTCCCAGTTTTTTTGTTGGCCAAAGTGGACACTCTTGTGCATGCTTTCCCAGGTTTACAGATCCTTTCCTCTTTCTCTTTTCGGCTTCTTCGCTGATTTTCCGACTCATTCCTTGCACGTTCCATGCACCAAAAATCACTGTCCTTTTGCGTTGCTTGGGTCGTCCTCATGGGTATTTCTTTCATTGATTGACCTGAATTCTTGTTTGCAGGCTTGATAATGCAATCCGGCTGAACCAGCACGACATCGGCGACGTGGATTGTCAAATAAAAATTGACTTCAGGATTCTGGTACCCACCGTGGGAAACCAGGAAACATCCCTGTTGACCAATTTTATTGAGGTGGGACACAAGGAGGTGCTCGAACACCCATTGTGCGAGACGTTTCTGCTGCTCAAATGGCGCAAAATCAGGCACTTTTTCTTCTTCAGCCTCCTTTATCAGACCGTGTTTGTTAAGCTGTTCTCGTTCTATATTCAAGGCGTTTACCTAAAGGACTGCCCCTCAGCGCGCCGATTCAACTCGAAGAAAACCTGCCTGGCGGATGATATCTACATGGACATTGGCTATTGTCTGATCGGGCTCAATGTTCTACTGATGTTCAAGGAACTGTTCCAAATACTCCACAGCTGGAAGACGTACATTCTGGAATGGGAAAACTACCTCCAGTGGGGCATCATTATAAGCGTGTTCTGCTGCGTGCAGCCCATGTACCAGATGAACATACGCGAATATGTGTTCACTTGGCAGCACCACGTGGCGGCCGCCAGCGTATTCTTGGCCTGGGTCGAACTGATGATGATTGTTGCTCGCTTCCCCACTTTCGGCGTGTACGTCCAAATGTTCACCACTGTTTCAATCAACTTTTTCAAGTTCATGTGCGCCTATTTGTGCCTCATTATCGCTTTCACCTTGTGTTTCGGCGTCATCTTCGCCAATTATCCGGCCTTCAAGCAGCTGCAGTTCGCCTTCATTAAAGTGATAATCATGATGTCCGGGGAGCTGGAGTACGAAGACGTCTTTTACTCGGATAAGTACGAAATCAAGTACCCGTACACCGCTCACATCGCTTACTTGGTTTTCGTAATTCTCGTCACTATCGTTTTGTCCAATCTCATGGTCGGCATGGCCGTTAACGATATACAAGGTTTACAAAAAAGCGCCAACTTGGATCGGCTGGTGCGTCTGGTTAGACTCATGGCCCACTTGGAGAGTATGCTGTTTTCGAACTTGCTCAAATGGGTACCGTTGAAGGTTCTGGTATTTTTGCATTCGAGCGCGCTGCTGTTGAAGTCGCAAAGAGACTTTACCCTAAACATCCGGCCAAATGATCCGCGGGAAAACAAAATACCGAAAAACTTTATTGAAAACGCGTTTCGACTGGCCGTCGCTAAAAACCCACACCAATCGAAGTCGTCCAGCAAGACTGGCAATTCGAAAAAAAAGCTAAGAAACATGGAGCAAATTGAGCAGGAACTCACCGCGGAAATGACTCGAATCATCAAGCATAAGCTGGAGAAAGTCAAGCTAGAATTGCGTGATAATTAACCAGTTATTAAGTACTTATTCATTGTGTTTAGCAGCTTTTAGTATTACTGTTACTGTGATATCGAGTCCAATGCCACCTCTTGCAATTTAATTCAAATAAATTCCTGGGTTCCAGTCAATTTCATTGTTTATCATTTAAAATGTTACAAATACGTTTCGGTGTTTTTCTCCACCATCATCAGTTTGTCTAAAATATACATTCACAGTCGTCATTAGTTTAAAACAAGAGCTCTCTTAAAATATACATACTAAAATACAAATTATAAACATATTAAAAAGTATATGAAAAACGTTTGAATCTCTTGGGATTACAGGTGATGAGTCAAGACGGACAGATCAATCATGCTCGGAAAAAGACTAGAATTTATTGTTTAGAGATTTAAATTTTATTTACATGTATGGCTGTTTCTACCTTCACATTTGGCAACCCATTTAAAAATCTTTACTTCATCCAATATCGAGCGAAAGAATAAAAAAACTGTTTATAATATTTGGCATTTGGCAAATTAATCAATGAAGACAATCATAATAAGAGAAGAATTAATGAAATGATACAAATTAAAAAACATCAGAATGCAATGAATTTTAGATCAGACACCGACAATCTTAGCTCTATACAGGGTGATTCAAAATTGGCGTCATTCCTTTTAAGAGGCGATAGAGGCCATCCCTTGGGAGTACGAGAAAAATATTGAATTTTTTTTTTATTTCTAGAAGCTATTAACAGTTGAAGATCGAATTTCAACTTTGTTATTAAGCATTATTTTGAAATGGTTTCATGTTTAATTGATAGCATATTGGAATACTTAAGCATTCAAAAAGAAAAATTACGATCTTTGCTTCAAATTACGAAAATTTTTGATATAAAAAAGTTCCCTTCTACAATTTTTTGATGAAAAGTCATAGCGGCAATGATGTTTTTTGTCATTAACAGATAGTTATAGGTGGACAAGTATTGGACATAATCGAAACAGGGCCTTCCAGGGGCACTCAGAGCACAATAACTGACACTTTCCCYAGCACCAAATAAATWCCGAGGAAGGGCTACATTCCCACCACGTTTGTACGATACACACAGCACAAGSAGATACAAATGGAGCAGGAGTGAATTAACTGAATACGARAAGCTGCKTGATAAGAGTGGATAATAARGAGATTACACAAGCACTAGCTTGTTTGGAGTTAACCAATCAAATGTTTGGTGTTGTATGGTTCATTTTTAAACACCAATACTCGAAGTTATGAGAACAGGTTGACATTTCGTCAAAAAATCTTGTTGAATTTACCGTTTATCCTTGTTTATCTTATTGTCAGTCTGTATAATTCCATGGTTACCGGATATATTATTATTTTTTCTTTACTCCTATAACAGCGCCAGACAACACCTCCAGAGAAATGACGCCAATTTTGAATCACCCTGTATAGCATTCACTAATTAAACGACCACCTATATACACTAATTAAACCAACTACATAAAATATAAACACCTGGTATATTGAAGAAATGCAGACCAAGTGATATCCTCAGAATGCATAGAAAAATGCCAAATATTATAAACAGTTTTTTATTCTTTCGCTCGATATTGGACGAAGTAAAGATTTTTCAATGGCTTGCCAAATGTGAAGGTAGAAACAACCATACCTGTAAATAAAATTTAAATCTCTAAACAATAAATTCTAGTCTTTTCCCGAACACGATTGCCCTGACTCATCACCTGTAATCCCAAGAGATTCAAACGATTTTAATATACTTTTTAATATGTTTGTAATTTGTATTTTAGTATGTATATTTTAACAGAGCTCTTGTTTTAAACTAATGACGACTGTGAATGTATATTTTAGACAAACTGATGATGGTGGAGAAAAACACCGAAACGTATTTGTAACATTTTAAATGATAAACAATGAAATTGACTGGAACCCAGGAATTTATTTGAATTAAATTGCAAGAGGTGGCATTGGACTCGATATCACAGTAACAGTAATACTAAAAGCTGCTAAACACAATGAATAAGTACTTAATAACTGGTTAATTATCACGCAATTCTAGCTTGACTTTCTCCAGCTTATGCTTGATGATTCGAGTCATTTCCGCGGTGAGTTCCTGCTCAATTTGCTCCATGTTTCTTAGCTTTTTTTTCGAATTGCCAGTCTTGCTGGACGACTTCGATTGGTGTGGGTTTTTAGCGACGGCCAGTCGAAACGCGTTTTCAATAAAGTTTTTCGGTATTTTGTTTTCCCGCGGATCATTTGGCCGGATGTTTAGGGTAAAGTCTCTTTGCGACTTCAACAGCAGCGCGCTCGAATGCAAAAATACCAGAACCTTCAACGGTACCCATTTGAGCAAGTTCGAAAACAGCATACTCTCCAAGTGGGCCATGAGTCTAACCAGACGCACCAGCCGATCCAAGTTGGCGCTTTTTTGTAAACCTTGTATATCGTTAACGGCCATGCCGACCATGAGATTGGACAAAACGATAGTGACGAGAATTACGAAAACCAAGTAAGCGATGTGAGCGGTGTACGGGTACTTGATTTCGTACTTATCCGAGTAAAAGACGTCTTCGTACTCCAGCTCCCCGGACATCATGATTATCACTTTAATGAAGGCGAACTGCAGCTGCTTGAAGGCCGGATAATTGGCGAAGATGACGCCGAAACACAAGGTGAAAGCGATAATGAGGCACAAATAGGCGCACATGAACTTGAAAAAGTTGATTGAAACAGTGGTGAACATTTGGACGTACACGCCGAAAGTGGGGAAGCGAGCAACAATCATCATCAGTTCGACCCAGGCCAAGAATACGCTGGCGGCCGCCACGTGGTGCTGCCAAGTGAACACATATTCGCGTATGTTCATCTGGTACATGGGCTGCACGCAGCAGAACACGCTTATAATGATGCCCCACTGGAGGTAGTTTTCCCATTCCAGAATGTACGTCTTCCAGCTGTGGAGTATTTGGAACAGTTCCTTGAACATCAGTAGAACATTGAGCCCGATCAGACAATAGCCAATGTCCATGTAGATATCATCCGCCAGGCAGGTTTTCTTCGAGTTGAATCGGCGCGCTGAGGGGCAGTCCTTTAGGTAAACGCCTTGAATATAGAACGAGAACAGCTTAACAAACACGGTCTGATAAAGGAGGCTGAAGAAGAAAAAGTGCCTGATTTTGCGCCATTTGAGCAGCAGAAACGTCTCGCACAATGGGTGTTCGAGCACCTCCTTGTGTCCCACCTCAATAAAATTGGTCAACAGGGATGTTTCCTGGTTTCCCACGGTGGGTACCAGAATCCTGAAGTCAATTTTTATTTGACAATCCACGTCGCCGATGTCGTGCTGGTTCAGCCGGATTGCATTATCAAGCCTGCAAACAAGAATTCAGGTCAATCAATGAAAGAAATACCCATGAGGACGACCCAAGCAACGCAAAAGGACAGTGATTTTTGGTGCATGGAACGTGCAAGGAATGAGTCGGAAAATCAGCGAAGAAGCCGAAAAGAGAAAGAGGAAAGGATCTGTAAACCTGGGAAAGCATGCACAAGAGTGTCCACTTTGGCCAACAAAAAAACTGGGAAGCTATAAGGAGTTAGACTGACGGGTTTTGGAATATATGCAATAGCGCCAACGTAACCGAAAATGACAAGTTCTTCGAACAAATTTATAACAAAATATGAATAGTGAGCACATTTAGAGAAATTTAATTTTTATTTTATTAGATTTAGGTTAGGACAAACAGACAAATCAGCAAATACGTTTGGATAAAGTGGACATTTTGCACCAATCTTAATTCCATTGTTTATAAAACACAACCTGCTGATATTGATGATCTTAAAAGTCGAATTGCAGCAGAATGCCAGTCAATTCCCCGTGAAGTTTTCCGAAATGTTAGGGAAGAGTTCAAAAACCGACTTTATTATTGTTTACAGGACTATTGACAACACTTGAACAACTTATAAGTGTATACTTTTCTGACTTTAAGCCTTGGCATGCATGCCAAGGCCTAAAGCAGCAACAACGCTACACATAAAAACTGATGATGGTGGAAAAATACACCGAAACGTATTTTGATTGATAAATAGAGACAATAAATGACTGAAACCCAGGAATGAATTTTACAACTTATAAGATCGTGCGTAAGTAGATGTCATGGGTTTTAGTATAGAAATTTCTCTTCCGCAAATAAAAAGTTATTTTTGTCGATGTAAAATAATTAGTAACCTCTGGACAAAAAGCCACAAAGTAATAACTAATGTAAAGAGAATTGAACGCCTTTTAAAACGATGTGCCACTTGACCCCCGGTCCATTTAAGATTCCAAGCGGGTTAAACCAAGGAGGCTAAAAATATTCATTTAATACAAGAAAAATATTAATAGTGGGAAGTTTTCAAATTAACACCTTGTATATAGGGTGGGTTTTTTCGATGACTAGTACAGAGATCTTCGGATCTAGCGCAGTTACGAAGAAGGTTAAATGGACAAAGAATTGTAGTTTTGAATGCTCTACTCGAAACCAATTTCACTTTTCTAAAATTTGACGGCTGTCAAGAGATATTTGGGAAAAACTTCTTTATGGTGTCAAATTATGTCATTAAATTCAGTCAAATTATGAACGTCAAAAATTGAAAGATGTTGTTATTATTTGTTGCTATGGAAACAATGTCTTATACTATTTTCCATTACCAACTTCGATCAACTAAATTGGAAAAGTATAAAAATAAGTGTCACAGAATTCGTAATGAAACACTCTATTCGGTAAAGCCATAATCAAGCCAATTAAAGAAACTTAAATTTGTGTCATATGTGAAAAATGACAGTTATTTTGGAGAAATGTCTTATGCCATTTTGTTTTGAATTCAATTTCCTACAAGTTCTCCCTTTAATATTTTCCTGTCAAATTAATATCAACGGAACCAGGAGTAATTTAAAAATTTACCATAAATAAGTTTTTCTCAAATATATTCTTTGTCCATTTAACCTTTTTCGTAACTGCTATAGTTTCAAAGATCCCTGTACTGGTCATCGAAAAAAACTCACCCTGTATACAGGGTTATTCACGCTATACGGCACGGGCGTTTGCGGCTAGCCCGTTTGTTTTTTGCAAAGTATTATTTGATGAAT